AACATCACTGATCACTTGAAAGATGCAAATGAAAACGCTGAGATTCCACCTCACCCCAGAAAGAATAACTGCTATCAAGAAATCGACCAATAGCAAATGTTGGTGGAGTTGTGGGGAGAAAGGAACCCTTCTCCACTGCTGGTGGGAGTGCAGACTGGTGCAACCACTGTGGAAATCAATATGGAGATACCTCAGACAACTAGGATTTCAGGTCCCATTTGACCCAGCTATTCCTCTGCTGGGTATCTTCCCAAAAGAATTAAAAGAATTATACCACAGCAATATATACACACCCATGTTCATAGCACAGTTTGTAATGGCTAAAACTTGGAAATAGCCCAATTACTCATCAACTGGAGACTGGATAAAGAAAATGTGGGTTTTTTAAATATAAAATGGAATACTACTGAGCCATAAAGAATGAAAAACTAGAGACATTTGCAGCTAAATGTATGAACATTGAGGCCATACTATTAAGTAAAATAAATAGGGCACGCATGTAAATACCAAACAGTTTCTCTGGTGTGAAAAACTGAAAGTGTAAATAAGGATCAAAACATATAATTGATAATGCAAAATAGTAAGCAAAGGTGAAAAGGGGAAAGGGAAGTGGGAGGGATAAGGAAAGGAAAGAAGAGAAAGGAATAAATATGAGAAAAGGAAAAAATGGAAAAAAGTCTTTATAAATAAGGAGGAGTGGGGGTTGAAGGGAGGGCAGGAAAATGGGGAAAAAATAAGAATCAAGATGGATTATGTAAAGGTACAAGCTCCCATTGGTGAATGTAACTGTATTGTAAACCTAAATTGTACCAATAAAATTAATGAATTTTTTAAAAAAGTACTGCAGTAGCCACTGTAGTATTTTATTTTTTGAAATTCTTTTAGATATATCTGCTACACATCAAACTAAATGTATAAATAGAATTTGGTATTGTTTCACATGAATTTTTATATCAAATATTCCTTTTATATCTAACATTTTTAAAAGATTGATTTTGAGAAACATATTTTAAAACTTAAGATGTTTTTCAAGAGCAAGAAAAACCCAAAGCTCGAACAAGAGAGGAAATTATAAAGATCCGAGCAGAAATCAATGCAATTGAAATTAAGAAAACGATACAAAAAATAAATGAAACAAAGAGCTGGTTTTTTGAAAGAATAAATAAAATTGACAAACCCTTAGCTAATCTTATCAAAAAAAGGAAAGAAAAGGCTCAGATCCATGCAATTAGGAATGAAAAAGGCGAAGTCACAACAGATCCGAAAGAAATCCAGAGGATCATGAACACCTACTTTGAGAACCTGTACTCTAATAAAATGGAAAACACAGAAGAAATGGACAGATTTCTAGATACTTATGAATTACCAAAGTTGAACGAAGAAGATAAAAACATTTTAAACACCCCAATCACAATCAGTGAAATTGAAAATGTAATTAAAAACTTACCAACAAAGAAAAGCCCAGGCCCTGATGGATTCACTGCTGAATTTTACAAGACATTTAGAGAAGAACTACTACCATTACTCTTCAAACTTTTCAATGAAATTGAAAGAGAAGCTATACTTCCAAATTCATTCCTGGAAGCAAGTATCACTCTGATTCCCAAACCAGAGAAAGATACAACCAAAAAGGAGAACTACAGACCAATCTCCTTAATGAATATAGATGCAAAAATCCTTAATAAGATACTAGCAAACAGAATACAGAGGATTATTAAGAAGATCATCCATCATGACCAAGTCGGATTTATTCCAGAGATGCAAGGGTGGTTCAACATACGAAAGTCAGTGAATGTAATACATTATATTAACAAAGTCAAGGACAAAAACCATATGATCCTCTCAATAGATGCAGAAAAAGCATTTGATAAAATTCAACACCCATTCATGATAAAAACCCTGCAAAAAATTGGAATAGATGGTCTATACCTCAATTTAATAAAGGCTATTTATGAAAAACCATCAGCCAACATCATATTGAATGGCCAAAAACTGAAAACCTTCATGTTAAAATCAGGAACAAGACAAGGATGCCCACTATCGCCACTTCTCTTCAATATAGTTCTGGAAACATTAGCCACAGCAATTAGACAAGAGAAAGAAATTAAAGCAATAAAGATAGGAAAGGAAGAAGTTAAACTATCATTATTTGCTGATGATATGATACTCTACATTGAAGATCCAAAAAACTCCACCAAAAAACTTCTAGACTTAATTGACAGATTCAGTAAAGTATCTGGATACAAGGTGAATACCCAAAAATCAATAGCCTTTCTATACACAAATAACAGACAGACAGAAAGAGAAATAAGGGAAAAAATTCCTTTTACAATAGCATCCAAAAAAATGAAGTATCTAGGAATCAATCTAACAAAAGAAACAAAAGATCTCTACACTGAAAACTACAGCACTCTGAAAAAAGAAATCGAAGAGGATATAAAAAAATGGAAAGATATCCCCTGCTCCTGGGTAGGAAGAATCAACATAGTGAAAATGGCCATACTACCGAAACTGCTATATACATTCAATGCAATGCCAATTGAAATTCCAACACTATATTTCACAGAACTAGAAAAAAGAATCCAAAAATTCATTTGGAACCACAAGAGACCTAGAATAGCAAAAGCCATTATAGGCAACAGTCACATGGCACCAGGTGTAACAATTCCCAATTTGAAACTATACTACAAAGCCACTGTGATAAAATCAGCATGGTACTGGCAAAGAAATAGGCCTGAGGATCAATGGAACAGACTGGAAGACACAAAAACAAATGCAGATGTACTCAGCTACCTCATCTTCGACAAAGGAGCTCACCATCCTCAGTGGAGGAAAGATAGCCTCTTTAATAAATGGTGTTGGAAAAACTGGATATCAACCTGTCACAGATTAAAATTAGACCCTTATCTTTCGCCATGCACTAAATTAAAATCCAAATGGATTAAAGATCTAAATATTAAAACAGAAACATTAAACTTGCTGGAAAGTAAGTTAGGCAGAACTCTGGAAGACATTGGTATAGGAAAAGACTTTATGAACAAATCCTCAGTAGCACGGGAACTAGCAGAAAGAATCAACAACTGGGATCTCATCTTACTAAAAAGCTTCTGTACTTCAAAAGAAACCATTAGCAGAACTAAGAGACAATCTACAATGTGGGAAAAAATTTTTACCAGCTGTACCTCAGACAAAGGACTATTATCAAGGATATATAAAGAACTCAAAACAATCAGTCCCCCCAAATATAAAGACCCGATCCAAAAATGGGCATCCGAAATGAACAGACATTTCTCATACAAAGAAGTGAAAGCAGCAAGAAAATATATGAAAAAATGTTCCACATCACTGGTCATTCGAGAGATGCAGATGAAAACAACACTGAGATTCCACCTCACCCCACAAAGAATGGCTGCTATCAAGAAATCACACAATAACAAATGTTGGCGGGGTTGTGGGGAGAAAGGAACCCTCCTCCATTGTTGGTGGGAGTGCAGACTAGTGCAACCACTATGGAAATCAATATGGAGATACCTCAAAGAGCTTGGACTGGAGGTTCCATTTGACCCAGCCATCCCTCTGTTGGGTATCTTTCCAAGAGAACTAAAAGAATCATATCACAGAGAAGTATGTGCACCCATGTTTATAGCGGCACAGTTTGTAATAGCTAAATCTTGGAAACAACCTATTTGCCCATCCGTTGGAAACTGGATAAAGAAGATGTGGTTTTTCTATAAAATGGAATATTACTCAGCCATAAAGAGCGAGAGAATAGATTCATTCATAGGAAAATGGATACATATTGAAGATATACTCCTAAGTGAAATAAATAAGTCCCACATGTGTAAATACCAAATAGTTTCCCTGGTGTGAATATTCTGCAACAATGCATAAGATTCTAATAAGATTACTGACATTTAGAAATGGGAGGAAAGGAGCTAAAGGTGTAGGGAAGGTGTGATACGTAGGGGAAGAACAAAAAGGGAAAAGAAAAAAATGTGAGAGAATGGAAAGATGAAAATAAAGTGTTTGTAGATGGGGAGGGGAGGAGGGGGTGAAGGGAGGGCAGAGGTAAGGGGAAAAAAATGAGAATCAAGACTTGCCATGTAAAGGTACATGATCCCAACAATGAATGAATGTAACTGTACTGTATCCCTAAATGTACCAATAAACTCAATAAAAAAAAAAAAACAACAACAACAAAAAAAACTTAAGATGTTTTTAAAGGGTCCCTAAATTACTGGGGGTTGTCTGTTCTCTGTTAAATTCTAAAGATACCCATCAAATCTTGTCTGTTCAGATTCCTTAGCATTAAAGAACTTGTATCCTGAAATCAGTCCCAAATTTTAAAAATCAAATAAAATAATACTAGTAATGGTGAAAATTACAATTTTTCTTGTTCATACCAAAAAACTGTATCAGCCAAATTTCATCTTGTTTTTAGTTTTGCCATCACCACAAAAGCTATTTTCTCTAACACATGTAAACTAGAAGGGATTTAAACATAAAGATAACTAAATTTTGTTTTGTTCAATAGAGCTTTTGAGGAAAAATAAAAGCCAATAAACTACACTGAATAATTTTTGTGCTAAATACAAAATTTTGTATTAAATATGATACATTTAGAAATGTAGACCTTTCCACTGTTACAGCGAAAAATTTTTCCAACTGCTTCCTCCTGAGGAGTCTGTCTTATCTTAAAAGAAATTCCAACATGATCAAATCCCTTAACATGTCATAGGTGCAAAACACTACAATTTCAGAGAGACTTGTGCTTATAATGCTGTCAGCTGTTACCCTGTATGACTACTGTATATCAGACTCCGGCATGGAGAGTGTCAGAGAGAGCCTGGCATGTTCTTACTGGTGAAACAACTGTTTTCACTGTCATCAACTATCTGAAAACTGAGTGTCTCCAGCCCTTGCCACTGCCCTATAACTTACAAGGTGTTTACAGGTAAAATAGAAACCTTGTTGAAGGCATCCTGTGAATATAATGATCCTAAGCACTCATGAACTGAACAAATGAGACAGAAGCATGGCAGTTTTTACACTACTTACCTGCTCTCTGATTATTCTTCCTGCTTCCCAGCCTTGCCAGACCCCTGATGACTTTGTGGCTGTCACTTCTCCAGGACATGTCATGATTGGAGGTTTGTTCCCCATTCACGAAAAAATGATGTTCTCAGAAGACCACCCCAGAAGACCACAAATCCAGAAGTGCATTGGGTGAGTAAAGCCCCCAAAACACATTTATATATCAAGATTATACCATGAAGCTAAGACATTTGTGTTATTGATATCTACATTGTTTTAAAAAAATTTGAACTCATATATATGTGTGTGTGTGTGTGTGTGTGTGTGTGTGTGTATATATATATATGCATGTATATTTATTCACTTGCATGTTGTTAGTCTTGCATTTATCAGCCCCTACATGTAATCAAACAACCTTCAAGTGAAGAGCGAATGGATGTTTCTCATTAATGAAATTTTTGGACTGTGCCTTTAAAAAGTAATTCCTGAACTCAGTTGAGAAGACACTGTAGCCTGCTCTTTACTTCACACAAACATAGTACAGTACATGGGCTGGGGATTTGGCTCAGTGGTTCCACCACCTGTCTTGCAAGCACAAGGGCCCAAGTTCTAACTCTGGTACCAAAAAACAAAAACATAGTACAGTATGTTTGCATTTCTGTCACCCACAACATGTACTGTTTTAAACATAAAGCTATTATTTAATACTTTATTTAAAATATGTTACATTTACATTTTTCTCAAAGTCTTGTCAATGCCATATTCATCTCACTCTTGAAATAATCTAATGCTTTGGCAATAAAATTATGACCCTTCTCTACTTAAATCTTCCCTCCTGATGTGGACACTGTTGTGAAGCTTAATCACAGAGGAGAGGTTGGCACAGTGTAATGTGGACAAGTGATGCTGTGGGAGTGAGTTTCAGGTGCATTTTCCTTAAGAGGAGGGGGATGTTTAACTCTAATTTCAGTTCCAGTGCAAACACAGGCAAATCACTTGAGCCCTGTGGCTGCTCCAGACCTCTGAGGACACAGGCAGCCTTAGCTTCAGTTACTCTGAAAAATGTGGTTCCCAGGCTTCCTTCTAATTCTAAAGCTGATTTGATCCTGACATAAATTTAATCTCCTCTCTTCTCCTGCCTTTTTTATTTTCCTTCATCTAAAATAATTTACCAAGTCTTCTAAGAATGCTTTCAGGTAAAAGGTGCTCTGTGACACACTATGGTCCCTTGCTGGTCTCCTGGGATGCTAGGCACTTGGAGCTATTGTTATTTGGAATCTTTGATTAGAGGAACGCCAGGGAATCACACAGATTTGTGGATTTTCACACAGAATGGGGATTTTCAGAGCACTACATTGGTAGTTAGTGGTTGCAGGTTTGAGGACTATAACTGTAGGCCAACAACTGGCGGAAAACAGTCATTTGACCCCTAAACAAATTTCTCCTGAGAAAAAAGAAAAATCAGTGAATTGAAAATCCTTTTCCTTATTGTCAGTCATCAAGAGAAATAGTTTTGATTCAGTATTAAACCATTACTTATTAAGTGCCTACATTACCTGGACCCTGTTCTTGGCATTGGGGACCTCCTGGTAAATATATTAAACAAAATTATTTTAACTCTAACAGCTTACAAATGAGGGATTCTGAAAACATTGCACAATTTAAATACTAGTGAATCTGTAAGTTAACCATTTCTCTTTTCTTTGTTTATTTTTAATATATTTTATTATTGCCTATGAGTTTTTAAAATATTGAGTTTCCATGTAGGGTTTTCATACATGCATATACAATATTTGTATCATATCAACCTAATTATCTCCCCTTTTACTTCCCTGTACCCTGTTCCTTATTCTTTTCTTCTTATTTAATAACAGTCTCCTTCTACTTCCATGTGTCTTTTTAGATTCTGTATACAGTATTAGGGAGAACACAGAAAGATACTTGTCTTTCTGCATCTGGCTCATTTCCCTTAGCATGATGTTCTTTATTTCCATCCATTTGCTTGCAAATGGCACAGTTCATTCTCTTCTATGGCTAAATAATACTGCAACATACGTTTTTGGCTCCTGTCAAGCATCCAATACCTATAGTTGTGTGGTTTGTTTCTGTATCCTCTATTCCAATGGCCAGTGTCCACTTTTAGGCCAGTACCATCCTGCTTTTGTTGCTATTGCTTCGTATATAATTTGAAATCAGGCACTGTGGTGCTTGCAGCCTTGCTCTTTCTGCTTAGAATAGTTTGGCTATTCTGAGGCTTTTTGTTTCCATATGAATTTTAGGGATTTTTTTTTCTAGTTCTATGGAGAATGTCATTAGAATTTTGATGTGGATTGTATTGAATATGCAGATCACTTTTGGTAATATGGTCATTTTAACAATATCAATCAGTCAGTCTGTGAGCATGGGAGATTTTTCTATCTTCTAGTGTCTCTTATTTCTAGTGTCTTCTCAATTTCTGTCTCAGAGTTCTGTAATTATTGTAGGGATCTATTTCCTTGGTTAAGTTGACTCAGATTTCTTTTTAATTTTTGAAACTATTGTGACAGAATTGTTTTGCCAACTTCCTTAACTAGTTCACTATTGGCCTATAGAAAAGCTGTTGATTTTTTTAAAATGTTGCATTGTATCCTATTTTTTAAAAAATATATATAATGCTGATTTTTTAAACCTCATGTTTAGACAGTCCGCAACAACAAATAGTAATTTTTAGGTAATGTATCATAACTTACTGAACTACTAGGAAACTTCAGGCCCTCAAAACCCTTACCAATAATATATGCCTCTTTCTTCATGTAGAAAAGCATGTGTTGAACTTGTGTTATGTATTAGGTACTATTTATAATCTTGTGTATATAATAATTGATGTAATAATAGAAAATCAATATGAAGCAACACAGGGATTTGGGATAATCATATTTTGAGAAATATTTTGGGAGTGTCCTCTAAATGTAAAAAGTGCTGTCTCCATATTAAACTAGTACACCTGCTAGGAGAAGCCTATTGGACTTTTACTCAGGTACTGTTTAAGTGAAATTCTCGAGTGTCTTACTTATCTAGTTTCCAACCACAATAAATTAAAATCAGAAAACTGAAAATGGGGTTTGAGTATAAGATAATGATAATAAAATATTAACAATAAATTCCCAAAAGAACCCAAATCAGACATATCTTATATTGCAAAATACCAAACTGAATAATTAAAACTGGTGCAGATTAAAGAAGAATTAAATTCTACAATGTTGCCTCCATTTAAGAACCATTTTTAAAAGTTAGCATTAAAAATCATTTTCAAAGACAGTTTAGATCCTTCAAGAGGTAGATTTTATTTATCCAAAATTGTCTGTTATAAGGCAGAAATATAAATAAAATATCACCATATCTATAGAAATTGCGTTTTACATTTAAAAACACTTATTTCTCAACAGCTTTGAAATATCAGTCTTTCTTCAAACTCTTGCCATGATACACAGCATTGAGATGGTCAATAATTCCACATTATTATCTGGAATCAAATTGGGGTATGAAATTTATGACACTTGTACAGAAGTCACAGCAGCAATGGCAGCAACACTGAGGTTGCTTTCTACACTCAGCTCCTCCAGAGACTCTCTGGAGTTTCAGTGTGACTATTCCACCTACATACCAAGAGTCAAGGCTGTCATAGGTGCTGGCTACTCAGAAATAACCATGGCTGTCTCCCGGACACTGAATTTACAGCTCATGCCACAGGTGGGTTCCCTTCCATGTCCATACATTGGTTTGATCATGTCTGTTATTGTGCAATGATCAGAGAAACAAGGAGAAACTAGTTAGGGAGCTGCAGTTACATAGTTCAGATCTAGGTTCTATCAGTTTGAGTAAGACACATTGTAAAGACCTCAACTTCCTGTTTCCCTAGCATCAGTCAGGTGGGAAATGAGAAAATGAAAGGTAACCAGGTTAAGGGGCCAAAGAAGACCTCTCAAGGAAGTGATATCTGTCCTCCACCGTGGATAGAAACAATACCAAGGTGATCTGGTGGAGGCACAGAGAGTATCTGGTAAAGAAATCCCCAAGCTCGGAGAGGGAAGAATATCACAAAGGTCATTATAGCTAGATCAATTTGAGCAAAAAGGAGAAAAATAAGAGCTTTCAAGCTAAGAAAGCTTTTGAAAATTTTAAAAAGTTTTAACAAGAAAGGTACAATAAAGAATGTACAGCCTATATATGAACAACAAAGCTTAAAATATTTTACTTCTGGTCCTTTACAGAAATGTTTGTTAACCCCTGGACTAGATGCATTTACCTAAAGTTGTGGATTAAACAAGATTGTTCATGAACTTAATCCCAAATGCATTATGTTTACTTGAATGGCTACATTTTGCCTATATTTACCTCTAAATTTTAAAATATCTACTATTGGCCCTGGCCTGAGGTTTAAGCTAGATATAGATGTGTATAGTTGCACAAATGGAAATATAAGACAGGCTCTGTATTATACACAATATGGAAAGATTAGAGAGCACTGATCCTGAACCATGTTTTGGTATATGATTTAGTGTATTATTTAGTTATTTGTACAGTGGGAACTCATGGAAAGGGAAAGATAGAGCCACAAAATCTATGAAAAAGCTCTGGAATCAAAGGGAGGACAACCTATTATAAAAAAAATCACCTGGACCTTACCAACACCATAACTAAAAGATTCTGTTCACTTCTAGGTGAGTTATGAATCAACTGCAGAAATCCTAAGTGACAAAATTCGTTTTCCTTCATTTTTACGGACTGTGCCCAGTGACTTCCATCAAACTAAAGCAATGGCCCAACTAATTCAGAAATCAGGATGGAACTGGATCGGTGTCATAACCACAGATGATGACTATGGACGACTGGCTCTTGACACATTTGCAGTTCAGGCTGCAGCAAACAAAGTGTGCATAGCTTTCAAGGAGGTTCTCCCAGCCTTCCTCTCTGATAAGACCATTGAAGTCAGGATCAATCAGACACTTGAAAAAATCATTGCAGAAGCCCAGGTTAAGGTCATTGTGGTATTTCTGAGGAAATTCCATGTCTTCAATCTCTTCAATAAAGCCATTGAAAGGAATATAAATAAGATGTGGATTGCTAGTGATAACTGGTCAACTGCTACCAAGATTATCACTATTCCCAATGTTAAAAAGATTGGCAAAGTTGTGGGATTTGCCTTTAGAAGAGGGAATATGTCCTCTTTCCATTCCTTTCTTCAAACTCTGCATATGTATCCCAACGACAACAACAAGATCCTTCATGAATACGCCATGCTTTCTTCTGCCTGTGAACAAGTCAAAGACAGTGATTTGAGTCAATGTATTTCCAACCATTCCCATGAGATGTTGACATACAAGATTCACCAGGCTGTAGCAAGGAACTTGCTCATGAGAAATGACTTCCTCTGGCATTATGCAGAACCAGGACTCATTCACAGTGTTCAGCTTGCAGTGTTTGCTCTTGCTTATGCTATCCGGGACCTGTGCCAAGCTCGAGACTGTCAGAACCCCAACGCCTTTCAACCATGGGAGGTACTAACTGGCTCACATAGTCAAGAAAGCACCATCATTTCCCCCAGTCACTTCCTCGCTTTGTTTTGCAAAGATTTATATTTACTGCTTTTAATCTGTTCCTTTTATGAGGAGAAATGGTTGGTGTTCAAGTAACCTGTGTTTTCATCACTGTCCTTTTCTCTTAAAGACAACAGTTATCTTTTACCCTCACCTACTCTGACTGACCAAAGTTTTGTACTTTTATTTCCCAAGAAGATTCTGTTATTAATTCTCTTATTTAAATATATCAATTTTTCAATCCCTCATACAAATTATCTTTTAAGATTTTTATCACAAGAACTAGACATTTTGTTGTTGCTAAATATAGTAGAGTATTCCTTTTCTGAAACATTTGGGACTAGAAAGTGTTTCATATTTTCAATTTTTCAGATTTGGAATATTTGTATATATGTGATAAGATATCACTGGAATGGGATCCAAGTCTAAATGCAAAATTCATTTATGTTTATATATGCCTTGCATATTGGGCAAAGGTAATTTTATACAATGTATTCAGTACACCTGTGCTATGACTACGAAGTTAGGTATGGAATTTTTCACTGTGATATCATATGGGCCCTCACTAAATTCCGGATTTTGAAGCATTTTGGATTTCAGACTTTTGAATTAGGAGTGCTTAACATGTATTATGGGTGAGAAACCTAAAGCTAGGAAGTACCACAAATAAGACCTAGTTTGAATATTCTGATGCTAGAACCTTTGTTTTTCACTGTATCACTAGCAGTTTGTAATCCTGGCACCTCCAGTTAGACTCTGGTGCTTAAGGTGTTCTGTCTGGAACTCTAGACATTGTCAAAGGAATGTTGTTAGTCTGGTTATGATTTTGCAAGTTTAAATGAACTACCAACTCTGCAGAAAAACTGATTCTCTGTCTTCTCTTTGATTATATGGAGAAATTTACAGTTAAATGTGATTCTCTTTGTGTATTTTTTATTTCTAGTTTTTTATATGTATGTTTGTGATACATAATAATTTCATTTATCTTGAGGAATTGTTACATATACATTTCACATTCTCATATGTTGGTCAGTATTTTTAATGATCATGAAAAAGGCATTTAAAAATAAATTGCTTCTTTTAATAATACATTTTACTCATTAGAAAGAAATTTCTCAGTAATGTATATTTCAAAGTCACACTTGCATATCTTAAGGCAGAATCATATTATAAAAATATATATATTTTAGGTTTATAATAGAAAAGAAAATAACAGAATAAGACAAAACTCTTATCATATAAATGGATGTCCAGAACAATTAATTTCCACTCTTGTCATTCTTTCTTGTTCTTTTTTTTCATTGGTTTTGGGGATTGGCACTGTTATGAGCCTTGCAAATGCTAAACTTGCGCTCTACCCACTGAGCCACCTCCACCCTTGTATTTTTGCTTTAATCACACATAAACATAAGCTCCAGATCTGAGATACCTGGCTCACATTTGAGTGAATCATGTATTTCAAACTATTCATTTTTAATCGACACACAATTATTGTATATATCTGTGCGGTTTATAGTGTTTACTCTTAAAACTATTTTTCACTATTGTAATTGAAAAGCCTAAAGTATAATGAAGATATAAAATGAATGATTAGAATCTTCTTTAAATTCTTAAATAATTTATATATATGTGTGATGCTTTTTGAGTGTATGCTTGAAAGCATAAGAAAATGTAAACATTTTGTTAATAGTATAAAACTTTAAGAAGGGGTTGGTGAAAACTGTAAGTTATTTGATTTGCCATTTTCCTCTCTAATGCAAGTTTACTATAATATTTTCAATAGTTTTGGCCTGGTATATTGCAGAAAAACTTTTTTAAGTAGGCTACCATAATAAAATCCCTACAAACAATTCTAGTAGTGAGAGATTGAGAAATAGAAATAGAGACCAGTTCCAGAGACAGACAGAAAAAAGAGGACACAGAGTCCCACAAGGAAAATGAATACAAATAGCAGAGTTATTTATCTGCTAGAGAGCCAGGAAAGTGCTTTCAGTCAAGAATATGTCTTATACATTTTGAGGAAAGGATCTGAGAAAGTTTTTCTCTAAAATGTTTTGTTTAAACACTGAAGGCTGGGGTCATTCGTTATGATCCCAATAACCCGTTAATCTAGAAGCAAACAAACAGACTGGAAAGGAAGACGTGTGATGTGCTCCTTTGATCATGATGGAAATAAATCTCTCTGAGCAGGGCCAGATACAGCAGGATAAATACTGCAAACAACTATTCTCATGGAGAAATTGTCATAGCCTCCAAATTTAGAAGATCAGCAACATTCAGGATCCCTATTGTGGATGCATTCCATTTAGGCCCCTGGAAAAATTTACTAATATCTAAATGACACTGAGTGAGTTAACATTCAAATAATTTTAAAGGGTTTAGTTTTCACGGTGTGTGGGTATAAAATACACATTGGCTGTCTATTTGGTGGTGTTGTGAGTAGTGTTTGAGGACAGCACCATCACACTTATTTCAACAAATTTTTAAATGTTCATCAGATGTGTGTGAGCATACCACTTTCTTGTTGTGACTAGTGATTCAGGTCTTTTTTTCTTTCTCTTTCTGATGATATATAAGATAGAAATGATATTTATGGGACAACGTTGAACAATCTTGGTTATTTAGCAAATTTGCCGGGTGTCTCAGTGCTCCAGGCATTGTGGTGAATGCTGAAGGACTCATCTGACTAGCGTGGTGTGCAAGCAAGTGATTCTGAAGTTGATTATGAAGTGGGCTGGTGCATGACCACATTTCATATGAACACAAAGTGGCAGAAGAGGACATAACTGAGCCAGCTTCTCCAATATTGGCAATTCAGAGAACCCTAAAAAACGTGATGTCTGTGGTGAATATGCCATGCTTATGGCATAGAAGGGTAAGAGGACAGAAACATTCAGCAAATGGTGAGAAAATGGTGCCATGGAACTGAAGTCTCGCATGGAAACTGTAAGCAAAAGGGATTGGAGGAGTTTGTGAAGGACATGTCGATAGTGACTTGCCAGTTAAGACATCTGAAACTTTGATGTGCATTTGGATTAACTGGGAATCATAGGCATGTGCTAATTTTCTAGTTGTATAATGGGACCTGAAAATCTGCATTTCCAACAATTTCCCATACAATGCTCTTATAGCTGATACAGGAACCACCATCTAAATAGGAAGCTTGTAAACATGAGGTTTAACATTTGGACATTAGAGAGCAAAAAGGATCCAATTAAAGGTATTTTTAGGCAAGATAATGATGTGATTTGTTTTCCATTGATGAAATTGCATTTTAGCTGCAGTGAATTAATTAGAGGAATACAAGACTGGAAGGAGGAAGACTAATGTGGCAATCCAGACATAGGATAAGAATGTTTTGTTCTACAGGTGTGACAGGAAGGATGGAGAGACATACACCAATATATTTAAGAGGATGGGCAAAGAACATTTAGGGGTAGATTGGATAGAAAAGATTACAGAGAGCAGATAAATGTTACAAATGATTCCCAGTGTGGGCAACTGGTGTCATTTGTTGACATGGAAACATGGAGAAAAATGAGGAGAAGAAATATTAAGCATTCTGTTTTGGAGACGTTGAGGTTGAAAATGTTATAAGATGTGTATATGCAGCCATGGTATTTGTACATTAGTGTAGATGTTAGGGATTACATGAGACTGATTTAATGGAGTAAGGCCAATAGTAACTGACAGTATAAGCCATGGCACTCTAAGTACTCATATATCTCACCTCTCATCTGGGTAGAGCTCATGTTCTTTACACTACCTCTTAAGTATGTGGCACTTAAGAAGTGTTACTGGCTACCACTTCTTATAGCATTTTAGAAGTGGAAGAGACTACCAAAATGCATGTCTGTCTCATAGTCACTCATATAGTTTGGCTTAGTTTGGTGTGTTTTCTTCTACACCGCAGAAAACTCCACAGAGTAAAAGACGTAGTCAAGACACCATTCTGAAATTCTGCAACATGGATTCATGCAGGTGCTTGGATTTTAATTTCCTAGGATGGAGTAGCTCCCACTTATGCAAACAAACTTGGCAAAACTTTGGCAAATGAGGCTAGAACTCACTCTCAAATTGCTGCTGGATAGTTAAGAGTTCCCCCAATCAGTGACACAACATCTTCTTTTTTCGCATTTTAAGTGATATTTCTGATAAGGCAATGTTGTGACTGGGATGATGGATAAACTTAGAAAGTTTATGTTCAGTGCTTTCTTTTTCATTTTCATTTTGTACAGTTACTTGGTGTGCTGAAAAATGTAACTTTCAGTGATGGAAGAAATTCTTTTCATTTCGATGCCCATGGAGACTTGAATACTGGATATGATGTTGTGCTGTGGAAGGAGGCCAATGGCCAGATGACTGTCACCAAGATGGCAGAGTATGACCTACAGGATGATGTCTTCGTCCTCACAAGTGAAGAAACCGAAAAGGAATTCAGGAAACTTAAGGTAATTTTGTTGTCAGCTACACTGTAGCATTTGAACCAATTGGTTCCTCACCTGCAAAAGTTCTTGAACCTTCCAGATCCTCTTTGATCCTCTGTTATAGCTTGTGTTTACCTTTTCCCACAAAGCCTCGTGCAGTCATAGGTGGGGCTTTTTCAGAGGTGGCTGGACCTAGAGTGGAATTGACTCATGGTGCAATGTTAGGATCAAGTGTAGTAGCATTAAAAGTGGGAGTGCTGCCCACCCTAAATAGCCTGGATAAGACATAAGGGATTGAAAAGGCCGTGGTCATCCCTTGTTGCTTTGTTATCTTCTGCCTGTCATGAACCGTTTTTCCTCTGTGATTCCCCTCTGCCAAGCCACCCTGCCTTGGAGCCAGCTATGACTGAATCCTCTACAAACTGTGAGCTAAATCAACCTTTCCTCCTTTAACTTTGGGTGATGGTTATTTTGTCTCAGCAATGAGAAAGTGACTAAGACAGAATTTGGTGACAGAGAAGTAGGTCATGGCAGTGACTGTACCTGATCATGTGGTACAAGAGCCTTTGGAGCTGGCTTATGAGAAGGAGAAGTCAGCAAAGATTTGGAGATGCTGCCTGAAAAAGTAGAGCTGGAATGTCTGAGGCTATACTTGGTGGAAGATTCTGGTCAGAGCTCAGAAATCCAGAATGCTGATAGAAATTCTGCTGCTAAAGGCCAGGCTCAGGAGGTTTCTGCTGGGAAGAAGGATTGCATTGGCTGTTGGACTCCAAACAATGTGTGCTATGGCTTGGCAGAAAATTTGTCTGTGATTTGCTAATGTGCAAAGACTTCTTGAGACTGAGATTAAGGGTAGCAGACTATCTTGCAGAAGAAATTGCAAGGCAGTCTAACAGTAAAGCAGTGATATGGCTACTGTTGGGGGCTTTTTGCCAGATTTACATTGAGAATCAAGAGCAAAGAGCCCAGCAGAATGATTTACAACATTTTGAGTTTGACCAGAAAGAAAGCTCTAGTAAGGTTGTAGACTACAAACATAGAGCAAAGGAAATCTTTGTTGCTAAAAAATTAATAGGAGAATAGAAAAAAATGGCCTGAGGGCATCACAAGAAGCAACAAAACTCCACCCTTTGCAGCCTTAAAATCGCAAAAATGAAAGACTTTGCTTTAAGAAGAAAGCCCCAGAGCACCATGATCCAGAATGGCAGTGGCTTAGAAAGGTTGTATCTTGAGATTCGGTTTGTATCCAAGAGAGAAGGAAGCCTGGCGACTGCTCCAGCTGGCAGCAGACCTTGGCATCATCCATGTGGTGCATGCAAAATGCCAGAGTTGTGGAGTCAGGAAGGCTTCCACCTGGAATTCAGAAGAAGGCTTGGGAGGCGAGGCAGCATGCCGCTGAGAGGGCCGTGTGTAAAGCTATGAGTGTGAAGCCAAAGGTGCAGTGCAGACCCCAGACGTCTGGAGAAACCAAGAACATGGATTGTGAGGAAAGCTACAAGGAGTGAGCAAAGCCATCTAAGGAAAGACGCGATGGGAGCCACAACCACCAGAAGTGCCATAGAGGCAGGGCCACCAGTCCCTTCAGCCTTTATAGCTTGCCACAGATTGCTGGGGCTCCAGAAAGAGGAACTGTAGGACTTAATGTTTTCCTTGCTGGATTTTGGTCTTGCTTTGTTCCCATTCCTTGCTATCCCCTCTTGTAACTTCTGCAGTTGAAATGTTTATCTTGTGCCATTGAATGCTGGAAGTGTTTAACATCCAACAGTAAATCTTAATTTCCCCAAAACAGAGCTCCTGATGTTCCCTTTCAAAGCTACACCTGCACAGTAAATGGCAGATCTCCCTCTTAGCTCTTTATGAAGAATTAAATCTGCTGGGTTCCTTGCCCGCTCTGTCACACTCCATATCCATCAAAAGTTTGGCTTTCAAAATGTGTCTGGGTGTGGTGGCACATCTGTAATCTCAGTACTTGGCAGCCTGAGGCAGGAGGATTGCCATGAGTCAGAGGCCAGCCTTGGACTACATAGTGAGTTCAAAGCCAGCTTGAAGTACATAGTGAGACACTGTCTCAAAATACAAAAACCAAGGGTTGGGGATTTAACTCAGCAGTGCCACACCAGCCTCACAAGCACAATGTCCTGAGTTTGATCCCCAGTACTGAAAAAAATAAAAAATAAAAATAAACCTAAAACCAACTGAACAAAAACAAAAACAAAAAATGTATCTGGAAGCCAATCACTTTTTACACCTATTCAAGCTGCTATCAGGGTGATTGTGGTAGGATTCCCACCCCCTCCACCTTCATCTCGGCCCTTCAGTCAGCCAGGGTGACCCTGAAGGACCCCATGCTCTGTCCAGCACCCATACATGCAGCCATACTTTCTTTCTTTTTTTTTTTTGTTGAATTTTTATTGAGTTTATTGGTACAATCTAGGTATACAATACAATTACATTCATTATTGGGATCCTGTACCTTTACATGATAGGTCTTGATTCTCATTTTTCCCCTTCACCCCCTCCTCGCTTCCCCATTTACAAACACTTTATTTCCATTTTTTCATTTTCTCATATTTTTTTCCTCTCCCTTATTACCTTTCCCCCACCCTTCCCACTTTCCCTACACCTTTAACCCTTTACTTCCTATTTCACATTATTAATTATCTCATTAGGATCTTGTGTACTATTATAGTTTTTCACACCAGAGAAACTATTCGGTATTTCAGTTAAAGAAATCTCTATATGAACATTAAAAATAGGGAATCCTAAAATAAAACTAAAAAGGAAAGTAAAAAAGAAAAGGCAATGATGTAAAATTAAAATAATCCTTAATTCTGAAGATGAAAATGGTCCTTGAACATATTTAAATTGCTTCTTGCTCTTGTAGTCTTATATTATTCTCTTTTTTCATTTTTAGAGAATACTTTATTAGTTTCTGTAATCAAACCCATGTAGATATGACCTTGCATATTTAATACAGTGCATTACCCCTGTAGAAATGGAAAAAAAATTAACTTTCTAGACCAATATGGCTGTTAATTTCTGTACAATGCCAACTCAACACAGTAAATTGGGATAACTTTTTCCAAAGATGACAGCAGCAGCCATACTTTCTTTAAAGATCCCAACTGCCTGTCAGAGCCTCCTGGCTTCATCTCCCCATCCCTCACCTGCAACTGCCATTTCTTTTGTCTGTAATAATTTTCTCTGACGTCTGTGCAGTTAACTTCTCTCTCTCTCTCTCTCTCTCTCTCTCTCTCTCTCTCTCTGTATTTCTTGAAATGTCGTCTTCTCAGTGAGGCTTTTCCTGAACATCCTTTAAAATTGCAGTGATTGATTGGGTGTGTCAGTCAGGGGTAGGGCACTTGTCCATGTGTGAGGGTGTTGGGTTCTCATTCTTGTAGTCATGTCTCATCTTTATTTTACTTGTTTTTATTTTGTTTATTGGCAACCTTGTCAGCTAGAAATGCAGGTCTACGGGAGGATGATTTCTGTTTTATTCCCTGCCATGGCTGGAACAATTAGAACAGTGCCTGGCATATATCAGGCACTGAGCACATTTGGTAGATGAAGGAATGGTTCCAGTAGTACTGCAAACCATTTTAATTAAAGGTGTGTTCCTTGTCAGAAGTTTCAGTGAAGCAAGATACTTTTTTCCTAGAAGAAGACAGAAATACGGCCATCCTTCTGTGTTCTCAACTTATCATCATCTTCTTCATTCCCACTATTATTTTTCCTAAAACCACATTACAAACCCAGCTCCCTGCTGAACACTGCAGCTCACACTGGGCCTTTTAAATATTCTGACTCACTGAATACAGAGAGGATTCTTCTTATTTTTTCAAGAAGCACTATTTTCAATCGTTACCAAATTTAATCTCTAGACTTTATCAATGACACACTTTGAGAGAGCAGTGACAGGATGCAGGGCTGAGGCTTTTATGACTAACTGGACAGGGCAGACATGAAGGGGGGCAAGTCTTCCTTTCTCATGGAGACAGCCACAGATATTTCAAGAATATAATAAAAATGAATACTATCTGAGATCGTATGGTCAGCTTTCAAGGTCTACTTGCTAACTGGTAGGTTAGTCAGGGCATCCACACTCCTGATTTCCTCCAAACTCCTGGCCTAAAACATCAGATAGCCCTCAATCCCCGATATCTGTGTCGCTCACACGGGAGACCTCAGGGCATCCCCACTGTCTCTTGAGGTTCAGGGAGAGAAAGCGCCAGGGGAGGGAAGGAAGATTGCACTTTTTGTCTCTCTTGACGCCTGGCTGCATCTGATAGTTAAATCCTTTTGTGTCTTCTGGGCATGAGGAGAGTAAATACCTCAGATTAGAAGTTTGCCTGGGTAATCCTCGAGGTAGATCCACTTCCTGCTAAAACCCAGATCAGTAGTGATTGAGTTGAAAAAAGAAAGTCAGTGCTCATGGCTACAGGGCAGCAACTGTTTCTCTTGACTGTTTCTCTGTTCCTACCAGGTCTTCACCTTCCAGAGAAAACAGTGGTTGACATAACATTTCGTGTTTCAGACTCGGTAGCAGCTGTTCAGGGAATCCTGAGAAAGCTTTGCTGACCACTGTTTTGACTTCCTCAGGGTAAAAGTGAAGTCATAACACAGATTAATTCACAGGATGCACCATGACCGAGGGACTGTGAATGGAACATAATGACACAGCCTAATCCTCCTGAAAGAATTATTAGCTGGATCAGAAGCAAAGCTAAAAAGCTATTAGTGTGATTTAAAAAGACAACCTAAAATACTGAATATTTGAGTCACAGTTCTAATCCTTTTTTTTTTTTTCAATTTGGAGACAGGGTCTCATTAAGTAGTTCAGGCTGGTCTAGATCTAGCAATCCTCCTGCTTCAGCCTCCCAGAGTGATTGGATTATAAATTTATCAATTTTTTTGTTTTAGAGTGAGGCTAGATAGGCTTCTTAGAGCATATGATAAGAAATTTCTTCTGAAGAATATGTTTATAATTCACTATTTTCTTATTTGACAAAACTCTTTATTCAGCATAGTATTGGAAATTTCCAACTCCTTATTTCTTTTACTACTATACATTTCTCTTTCTTCACAGAACAGTCTGATGGAAACAATGGCCATGATTTCTTACAGATGCTATTGATGTGACAAAAACTACATACTTTCTACAACAGTTTCTCCATCTGAAGCATTTTATATATTTTAAACTTGCTTATATCTCAGGAGGTCAAAAGTACTTTAGTAGTATTAAAATGATCAAAATATTATTTATTAAATACATCTTTAAATTAAAAATAATTAGAATACTTTAAAAAATATTTTTGAGATTTCTTTTCACTTTCAACGCAGCAAATTCTATCTAAATGCTCCAAGGAATGCAGCCCAGGACAAATGAAGAAGACAACGAAAAGCCAACACACTTGCTGTTATGACTGTGTGAGCTGCCCCGAAAATCACTTCAGTAATCAGACAGGTAATAACGGACACGAAGCGTGAATGGGTACATAAAACAGTTCCTTGGGCCTATTTTTGTTTTCATGCATCCTATTTTGATTTACTTTTTCATCTAAAAAGAATTTTAAAATCTTCCTATGTTCTGCTAGGTAAAATTCCTAAGAAATTTCACTTTATCTTAATTTCCTATATATGATTTGGTATATGATCCATAAATAATACAGATATAAGAGGAGTTTCACTTCCAGTGAAAAGGCAATTTCTTCACACATACTTCCTCATCAAAAAGTCCTAAAACAGTGAGTTTTCCGCTAACTTTTGTCGGTATGCCCATCCTTTGTAATTGTGGCTCAAGAAGTACAAATAAGCAAATGCTGAAACAGCTAAACCGACATAGTAGAAACCCAGAGACTCCTGTTGAGAAGCAGGTGTGCCTGTCCCAGAGAGCTTAATGTCCTTACCAAGAGGCAAAGGTTGCGTCTGAGAAGAAAGGAACGTCTGTAAGACAAGAGGACCCGGCGTTAGTGGAGATGAGGTGCTACTCACCAACTGTTTGCCCACCTTATCTTTATCAGTTTGGCAAGATCAGAGCAAAATACACAAATTAAAGTACAGGGCTGAGGTCAGCAACTTTAGAAGCCCTACGAAGAACTATTGGCACATTCTTTGGAGCAAAACCCACTTGAACGCTTCGTGTTTCTTCATTCACTGCCACATTCCTGTTCATCTTCTGTGAAAACTCAGAAGCTCAGAGCCAGAAGGTATATACACGCTCACAAATGTATATTCTTTCTTCTTACTGGCTTCAAGGGGAGAAGTAGGGCAATGGAACATGCCAGTGTTTGTGTTCTGTCAGCACCTTTAAGATACCACTTATTCTAACCCAAGAGGAACCATGCTGCCCAAACAATTAGATAACTGGGGAGCAATTTTTCAGCAATACAGTACCGAGCAGCTATCCTCCAAGTGGAGAAATAAACACAGTAATTTCCCATAAAAAGATATTAAAGTCTTTCTAGGCCCAATCTGGGCTCCATTTGCCAGTGCAAATGTAGACAATGAGGACACTGTGGAGGAAAAGCCAGGAGTGGGTGCAACCTAGAAGCTCAGCCTCTGTCCCCCACATCTCTCACATGTGGGCATCCATGTGACAAGACCATAAATGTCTACAGAGGGAGAGAAAGGGCAGATAGTAGCAGCTGGGGGTAAAAAGAAGACAGAGAAGGATACTTGTAGGGAAATGGGTATTGAAAGAGGATGTTGGAAGGGTCATCAAGTTTATGGACAAAAATACAACCTTTCTTTGAGGTTCACACAGAAGAGAATGTGAACATTTAAAAAAGTTGAATGAACTTTTTGACTTTTGCTACATATAATCAGATGATATCCTGAGAGAGGCCTTTCGAAGTGTCAGGATCTATCATCTGTGATGGGAATAGAGAGCAAAGGCAACCCTAGTCCCAGAGATCCCACTCTGCCTTGCAGGTGGGACTTGCATAAACACTGCTCTGTTTTGTCACTGACAATGTGAAAGGCTCAAGTATGCTAACTTCTTAGGAAAAAATTAATTTTAATTCTTCATCAGCTGTCCTGATATGATTATCTTGTGTTATCTCACTTTCTGAAAGAGACTTTAAGCTTTTGGGGCAATCTAGCCATATTGCCTCTGCTTTGCAAAGAACTTCAGCCTTATTCATAATAGCAGCTCCCACACACCAGGGGTCTACTCTGTGCAGTATTCTGAATGTGGCACCCCTTGGGGTTAGGAGGGTTGGAAATGGGATCAGAAAGTGCAATGCCCTTGTTCAAGTTTATAGGACTCATGGGTGATAGAGAAAAGACAGGAATTGAGGCTATATTTGATTCCACATCACTCATTCCTATCAGAATGCCTGAACTGCCATCTGTAACAGCAAGCGTATAAGCTGCTAGTGTCTATCCTGAAATGTAAACGTCCTAAAGGCTCAGAGACCAGCTGGCTTTTTGTCTTTCTCCTTTTTTCCCCCCTTATCCTCTTCACTCATCTTTGCTGTTTCACTTTTTCTTTCTCTGAGTTCTGTGAATATTTCAATAAGAAACTGCTGTGATAATTACCTGTACGTGTTTTATGGTTGGGACCAGTGCCCTGGAAGTTTTATTTGTGGTATTGTGGGAAATTGCCTGGTTTAATTGTTTGCAAGTTTGCTGAGTCTTCTCTGTCCTTTAGACATGGATCACTGCCTCCTGTGCAGCAATGAAACTCACTGGGCCCCTGAGAGGAGCACCAGGTGCTTGGAGAAGGAGATAGAGTTCCTCAACTGGGGCGATGCCTTGGCTGTCCTACTAGTGGCCTTCTCCCTTCTGGGAATCGCCTTTGTCCTGGCCATTGGAATAATATTTACACGAAACCTGAACACACCCGTTGTAAAATCTTCCGGGGGATTACTGCTCTGCTATGTGATCCTTCTCTGCCATTTCCTCAACTTCATCAGCACTGGCTTCTTCATCGGAGAACCGCATGACTTTACATGTAAAACCAGGCAGATGCTATTTGGTGTGAGCTTTACTCTGTGTGTCTCCTGCATTTTGATGAAGTCCCTGAAAATTCTGCTGGCTTTCAGCTTTGACCCCAAGTTGCAGAACTCCCTGAAATGCCTCTATAGACCAATCCCCATCATCATCACGTGCACAGGAGTCCAGGTCCTCATTTGCACGCTCTGGCTCACCTTCGCAGCACCTGTGGTGGGGGAGAACGTGTCCTTGCCCAGGGTCATCATCCTGGAATGCCATGAGGGGTCTGCACTGGCATTTGGCACCATGCTGGGCTACATTGCCATACTGGCCTTCATCTGCTTCGTATTTGCCTTCAAAGGCAGGAAGTTACCCGAGAATTACAATGAAGCCAAATTCATAACCTTTGGCATGCTCATTTACTTCATAGCATGGGTCACTTTCATCCCCGTCTATACTACCACATTTGGCAAGTATCTGCCTGCTGTGGAGATCATTGTTATCTTAATATCCAACTATGGGATCCTGTGTTGCACCTTCTTCCCCAAGTGCTATGTCATTCTTTGCAAACAAGAGACTAATACAAAGTCAGCTTTTCTCCAGCTGGTTTACAGCTACTCTTCACACAGTGCCGACATCCTCACTGTGAGCCACACTTCCTTAAACCCCACCAATAGCAGCATCTTGATGACCCGTGCTGGCCCTGGTGGCAAGGGTGCAGCCTGGAGGAGAAGCAAAGACTTTCAGGCACAAGCACGTGCACACTTAGGCAAAGAAATTGCTGCGAAAATGTCTAAAACTTTGCTTCAGAAGAGAAGTTCAAGTATATGAGCAAGCCTTTGGGAGTGGGCACACTACAGAGTGCAGTGTTGCAGGGACTTTGTCCCAAGCCATGCATTTGTCTCCCAGCAAATGCATCTCATATATTTCTTCTCTGTAACCACCTTCACCAAATTTTGATTGAATATTCACTCTGCCCAGCCACCTGCTCAGGACGGAAAGAGAGCCTCCACTCTGAAACTCCCTTCATGCTTACCACCGCCATCAGTCTCCACCTCAGTCCTCCTTCCTCCGAGACACTCCTTGCATTCAAAGTTAACTCATGATGTGTCACCCTCGCTTTCCCACTCCGCTTCTCAAACCTCATGGCGTGGCTCCTCTTCTCTAAAGTACCTTTACCAACCCGTTCCACTGCCCAGTGAGCGGCACAAGCAATGAATCAATCATTCCCGACCTTAAGAGCAAGGGGGAAGAATCACGCCATTTTTCAGCATGAGGTGTCTGTCATGTCACAGGACACTTAACCCCCATGGGGGAGGAAAGGAAGGTTTAGGAGAAGGCTAAATAATGGGTGTGAAGTTTAGGAGAACCCCCGAGAGAAGAGTAGGAGCTAGCTACTCAGAGTACAAAAAGTTGTTCTAGGTGAGCAGGAGAAGCTGCAGCAGCAAAAGGGCAACAGGAAGAAGTTTCCAGGGACATGGTCCCTTGGCGTTTCTACAGAGGATTCTGCCTGTATGTATGTGGAGGTGATCCGGATCCTTGTTAAGGAGCTTAGGTCTTTATCTGTGGGATGGATGGCCTCAAGGTAGAAGGTAGCTCAAAGTTAGAGAGTGGGATCTACATAGGAGAGGACTAGGCTGTTTCCCAGGGGTAGAAGGGAGGATCTGAGCAGCTACTCAAGCTCTAGAGGGGTGGCCATTTCTTTAAAGTACTTGCCGGAGGGTGAGCTATTGAGAGGTGATATGAAACACAGAAGGAGGAATCAGTTTCTCTATAATGGAATATGAGGCCATATGTTGGGTTTCGAGGTGGCTACAGTGATTTCAAGATGCATCAAACATTGCTATGGACATAAGACTGTGCTCAGGGGCCTGGGTGGTTACAAAGGTATGGATATAATATTCACATCTCTCCTTTTCTTTTGAAACAGATAAATCTGCAAAATAGCTTTGTCCCCAACCCTGACTTTTTCTTTTCACTACCAATGTCTTTCTTCTTTCTTTTTTACAATTGAATGTTTAAAGAAAAATGTGATAATGGTCACAATGGTTAGATATTAGTGACCTGTCAGTTCTGAAGCCACTGAAGTCTGGTGTCTACTGGACCATCTGTTGAAATAGTTCACAGATCAGTCATCATGACCCCATCTCTCAAACTTAATTACTGTCTTAAATGCTTATCTCCTTGCATCCTAATGGCAGTTAGTCTAATTTTTCCCCATCTAAGTGCCTCTTAGTTCCCTCCGTGAATTCAAATGAGTCAGAGTTCTGCGGTAAGACAAACAAACAAACAAACAAGCACCCTTCTGCTTCCACTGTGATGTCCTGACCATTCAATGTCTCCTTTTCTGGTTTGTCTTTCTCAACCTCTCCCTGCAGTGGGGCGCTTGGCCAGTGTCTGTCTTCTCCCAGCTACCACCTCATGCAGTGCTACCTATCTCCGCATCTTCATGGGACCCAGATAACTTCCTAGCCCACATCTCTAGCCCAGGAGACAGCCCACCTGGCCCAGAAGTCGACTCACCCTGCGTGGAACCCATTTCTCTTCTGTGCCTCCTCCCCCTGCCCCCCATTTCTCAGGGTGCTGCTCACCTTTGGTGACTTGGGCCTGGGGCTCACTCAACTCCCTCACCTGCTTCACACCTCTACATCTTCAATTTCTTATATTCTTTTATTTTGTGATTCTTCCAAAATTTTGTCATGATCTTCTCTTTCATCCCTTTTTTAATCTGGGCCTTTGTCACCTCTTTCATACATTGTTACAACAGTCTCCTAATTTAACCCCAGTCTCAAATATTTCACTCTTAACAACATGCATGCATGGTCTATATCTTTGACAAGGAATATTAAATAAATAAAAAGTTAAAAAGAGTTGGAGTGTGTCAGTGCCAGGACTCTGGGTTCCATCCTAGTACTGCTGGGGAGGATTGTTAAGGGGATAAAATATTTGAAGTCATATGAGAATATTCATAAATGTCTATCCTGTTTGTGATTTCACCAACTCAGTGCTCTGTTGATACAATACAGTTTCTCCTATTGACAAGAGGACAGTTACAGGAAAGCTTCCAGATTCTAGAACATAGCCACATAAAAGTAAAATCCCAGTTCTGTTGTGCCGATAGAGCAACAAAAGAAACATTGTTTCATAAGAGTTGGAAAAAGCAATGCCACTCAATGTAAGAGATCAAGTTGTGAAGTTTTTGAAGCCAAAACTACATTCTCTCCATCAGATAAAGCATAGCAAGTAAGAGAATGACTATTTTAAATTTTGTTTTAATTTTTGGGTATAATAAATTAAGTGATTATTTTTACTCTTTCTGTAATAAAGGGTTTAAAATAATAAAATGAAAAGCTAAAAGAATACACAAAGTAGTAACAGCACCTTCCTGTATAAAGTATCCAAAAACTTACAGGTTGTCTTAGTAAAGTACAAATCAGGATTCAGAGGTTTTCCCATTAGTGAAGACAAATGGATTTAGGGGAAAACCTTTAGCATTCAGTGTCAGATTACTCATATTTTATCCCTATCCCTTTCCCTTCCCACTGAGAAACACTGTGAAATTATTTATTCTTAGAATTCAAGGTGGAGGAATAATATTCATTGCACCCACAGATTTTATTGTAGGATGACATCAGAAGCTTGTTGGCTCAAGTTGTGAGAGTTTTAAGAGGAAAGTCCAGGTGTAGCTGTCAACTATGTACCTTGAGTTTAATAAAAGTTGAATGAGCAACTGACATTGCCAGGAATCTCCTTAAAATCTTGATTAGCATGGTAATGACTTTTTTCCAAGCTTTCTTTTGATATTAGAGTCTCCACATAAGACTTCCAGATAGCTAAAGTTAATTGCACACACCTAAAATCTCAGGTGAGAAGAAGATGGAGAATGTGAGTATGAACCCTTTTTAGAAGTGGAACCTGCAGTGTGATGTTAAAAGGAAAGAGCGATGGCAGCTGTCACATCATAAAGAGCTGAAGATGGCAGAGCAGCAAGATACAAGTGGCCTTGGCCCCCAACACTCAGGGTTTGGCTTCCAGCCCTAATTCCTATGCTTAGAGCTTATTAAGAACAACATCCTTGCAAGCTCATGAATGCAGCCAGCAGATACACACGCATAGAAGAGTTTCTCATAGGGAAATCTCAGTTCTCTGAAGTACATTATGCTTTATAACGTCTCTTAATTTTTTGGTAATGGTACATTTTTAATCAAAATCAGATTATCAGAAAATGAAAATTTTGGACCTAAAAACAAATGAATCAAGTATCTTCGCATCTTTACCATTATTTTAGATCTGCAAACCTGTATACTGAATCTGTTTCTTGCTTGTTAGACACCCAAGGGCATGACTGAAAATGTAGAAGCCTAATGTATTAAATGCAACCTGCAGTGGGTCTGTGCTGGAGGATTTCTCTCCAAAAGAGCCATCCATTATAAATACACAGATAAACAGAAAGCATGGGAACCAAATTCCATGAATTTCCAGTGTGAAACTAATGGAATCCAGAATATTTGAAAAGTCCCTATGTCTACTCCTGATATTAAACTTGAATGAGAGCCTCTGATAAGCTGATAAGCACCAAGAAAAGTGAGGTGATGGTCAGTATAGTTTATCATATTTAAAATGACTTTGTTTCCAAAAGGATTAGAAATGAATTTTATAAAATGAAAATGTATTTAATACAATTTTAAATAAGTAAAATATTTTAAAGCAAATATATAATAGAACTGTAGATCATAACTGAAATCTAAGCTAGGAAAAGTAGTGGCTCTTGTACTGAATGTCATCGTGGGCATCATGGCAGCTAAGAAAAGTGGACCCCAGACCCCTTAACAGACAAAGCCTGCTCAGGTGTTGGGAATCTTATAGTCTAAGGGCTTGTTTCCTGTCTCAGAAACTCCATTTTACGGTGTAATCTTATAAATCTTCAAATATGTGAGGCCGCTGGAAAGGTTAAGCCTGAGACCTAAGAGTCCTTCTAGGTCCTTTCAGCCCCACAGGAAAACAGAAAGACCTTGAGCTTGGTTGGTAAATCACAGGGCCCCAAGCCATCCTCTTTCATACACATGAAGCAAACTTGTTTGAAGTAAGAGGTAAAGGGGTCAAGATGAAACTGAACTAGAAGAAGGAGTGGGGGGGAGAGGAGGGAGGGAATGAGGGGGAGGGAGAGAGATTGGAATTATTTGACCTCCTTGATCCATTTGTGTCTAAAGCTAAACTGTCCTCAGTCTCTCCCCCGCATCTTGTCATTTGAAACTAAAGAATAATAACTGAAACACTTACACTTCACATAACTAGATACATTTTCCCATCTAGAAAGTGAAATTTATGGAGTAAAAATCTCAAATTCCCCTCCAAGTCAAAAGCTCAAAAATTCTGGATGAACTGGGGATGACTTTGAGACAGGAGTACTAACTCACCTACTTTGGAATCCTTAATTTCTGCAGGAAATTTAGCAGGCTCTCAATCACTACTCTTGAATTACATTGGAAACCATTTTCTCTAAAGCTAGTCAGTTATAAAGCAGTTATCTCTGTTATTTTTTTTACTTTTCCCATCTGTATCTGCAGCAAAAGGCTGTGTCACACACAAGTTCACAAACTTCCCTTTCGTGGGATGGGAGTTAAATAATCCTGGATAAATTAACAAATAGACTTGATCCCCAAGTGAGAAATCCATGTTGCACTGTTTATCTGACATTATGGAAATTGTGAGAGTCTAAGAGATATTACTGGAATAATCTAAGCTGGAGAGAAAAATTCACTCCTTCATTGTAGTGCAATTATTAGTACAGTCACAAGAAACTTTAAGATTTAATCTTTCTTGCTTTCTGTTTGACGAAAACAAGTAAAGAGTTTAAGGGTATTTTGGATCAGTAGCTAAAAGAGGCATAATCCAAGTGTTGAAACTATATCTTACGTTTCTTTTCATGTTAGAATTTTTTTCTCTCAAGCACCCTTCCAAAACACCACCCGCATGCACTCGCACACACTCACACACACTATTTGTCATTTGTCCTTCAAGGATGGGGGAACAAAATAAGAAGTCACTCTGCTAGGACACGTCTCCTCTAAAGAACAGGGTGTCCTGTACTCAGAGTTCACCCTAATAACCCAGTATGTGATGGAGCCTGAATAGGTTTCCCAAGGTCCCACAGCAGTGGCTGAGATGAAGGAGCTGAGAAAATGGGAGCCAGAAACTGGACACACAAACAAGGGCTCCAGTGTGACAGAGGACAGCAAATGCTCTCTTGTTGTCCA